GGGAGCCTGGGGCCGGGCTGCCCTCGCGGTGCGGCCGGGCTGAGCACCCGCCCGAGCCGGGAGAGCACAGGGCGAAGTGGGGTGCGGAGCTGGGGGGCACGGCAGCGGGGAGGGCACTGGGAAGGGGTGAGGGGGAGTTGGAGGATGTGGGGCGGTGAGCGCACGGGAAGGAAGGATGGGGAAAGTAGAAAGGAAGAGGAGTGAAGGAAGCCAAAGGAAGAGGAGTGAAGGAAGCCAAAGGAAGGAAAGGGAGAAGTAAGGGGGAAGCAGAGGCAGAGCAAAGAGCTGGAAGAAGGGAAAAATCAAGAGAAGAAAAAGCCGCTATTGAGTAATGTAGGCCAGGCTACTGGGGCCTAACGAGAGTGACAAAAGCCCCGAGCTTCTTTTTTCCCTCTTATTAACAGATGAGCTGTGCATGAAAGCAGGGACGTGGGCTGGAGACCCCGGCGGGGTGGGAAAGGCTCTGCAAACGTGCGGCCYGTCCCCAGCGCCGCGGTGTCTGCTCCGCTGTGCGAGGTCTGCGCAAGCCCCGCGGGCAGCGCAGCAGCACAGCGGGGGCGCGGGGGGCAAGCGAGCGGGGATGGAGCCGGCAGCCCCCGTGCATCGGGACTGGGTCCGTGCACTGGGGCTGGACGCGTCGCTGCGCTTTCCTGGGCAAGAGGAACAAGGCCGCAGCGGCAGCAATGGGCGGCCCGAATCGGCCTCTCTGCTCTCAAAAGCTTGCGGTTCCCTGCTGGCCGGTGCCGTTAAAAATGCCTTTTGCCTCGGAGGGGACAGACACGCTGCAGGGCGATGACTAAAGGGCAGCTTTGTGTCCCCGTCCCCGCCGCGGCTTGGCTTTGCCGAGGGAGCGTTTTCTCGCTAATTCGTGTGCGTGACGAGGAGCCTCCCTGCGCCGCTCTGACACGGGCCTCGCCTTCCCGCCGCGCTCCGGGCGCTGCCTTCGGCAGAGCCATCAGAGGAAGGCGGCGCTTGCCGAGCGTTTTTTCCTCCTGAAAGACATTCTGTTCCTCGTGACGGAGGCCCTGGCGCGGCTCGGAGCAGCCCAGCGGGAACAGCCGGCTTTTGCTCGCCGCTTCAGGCTGCAAGATTCCCGCTCCGGAGGGAGGATGGCATGTGAAATCCGGGCTGGCGTTCCCAYGTGCCCTGTATCCTGCGGAGCCGTGTCCCGCGGCAGCTCCGTGCGCTGCAGCCCTGTGGATGTTGGGCAGCTGGGCTTGCCGTCCCCAGGGGAAGGCGGCCCAGGTCTGCGCCCGCATATCCTGGGAGCGGGACTCTGCTCTCGTCTCGGCTCTGGAAGGCAGCGGCTCTTTAACCAGGGAGAAAAAGCCAAAATAGCGAGATCCACAGGTAGGGAAGTGAAGACAGTATTTTAGGACAGAAGCATCCATCTCGCTTTCTTAACTGTGAGGATGAGTATTGACATGACTTACAAAGGCAGGTGGAGGAGGAGTCCCTGGAGTGCCTGGATCCTCATGCCGGCTGCTTCGGGCCATGCAACCGCTCTCATAAAGCTGTCGTGCTCRGTTTTACAAGCGGCTAAGGCTTTGCCCTCGCTGATCCCGCTGGAAGGCTCTTCCAGCTCCTCGTGCTTCTACGATGCTTGGCAGCTGCTGCCTATTTCCCAGCCTCACTGTCCTCCTAGCTGGTTTGGGTCCATCTGTTCTTACGCCAGCCGGGTCCCTCAGCCCTTCTCCCTGGCACTTTGGCCCTGCAGGCCCCCTTTGCAGCGGCAGGATGCTGCCGCAGCCCTCGCCATCCCCTGGCTTTCACCCGGGAGGACAGGCCCTCCGTAAGCAGGACATGGACATTTGCACTCCTCCTTGGCTCTGCTTGCCTTCCCTTCCCTCTGTGGTTAATGGTGAACAGAAAAGCTTTGGAGGTGCGTGGTGGGGGGCAGTTCTCTCCTTGTATTCTGTATASAGTAACATTAGGTCATCCTGGAAAAAAGAAAGAGACATGGAGAGGAAAGTTAAAAAGCCAGAAACTTTTGACCAGGCTCATAGTAGAAGGCAGGACTTGTCACATTGATGTGGGATTTTTCTTTCTTTTTTTTTGGCACCATGTAACTTCTCTGCATAGTTTTGGTGGAAGAACATGAGGCAGTCCCCTCTCCCCAGGTGACCCCGTCCCTGCGGGGAYGAGAGCAGGGGTGCTCGGCAGCCGTCTCGTCACTGCTGGGATGTCACCTGCACTTAATATGGATGCAGGCAATCCCTGTGCAAAGCAGGCCTGCAGCCTCGGGAGCTGGGGAGCAGGCTGGGCAGCCCGGCATGGGCCCAGAGCCGTGCGAAGAGGCACAGCCTGTGCGGGAGCAGCTACCCAGGACGGGCGCGCTCGTCCCAGCTGCGCCTGCCACTGAGTACCTGCAAAACCCCCGTGGGCTCCGTCATGGTTTGGAGGAGCAGAGCATGTCCGTTTCACACCGTCAGTGCTCCTAGACTCAGCCTGGAGAAAGAAGAAGGCGCTTCTTTCCTCTCCCTTGCTCCGCAGACCTTTGGGGAGTTTTTGCCTCCATTCGCAGTCTCAGAGAGGGACACACGCCCCTCCGGATGGCTGGGATGGCATCACGTCGTGTCCTACCAACACCGCCAAGGCCACATGGGGAAGCAAGGAGAAGCCAGAAAGGACACCCAAACACAAACTCCTTTTAGGAAAGGGCACACAAACCCCGTCGGTGCCCAGAGCAGTGGTTGTTTCCCTCTCTTTTGGGGTCTGGCTCATAAAGGAGGCASCTTGGGGAAAGACCCCCTTGGTTATGCCAAAATGCCCTGGCAAGGCTCCCACTGTTGCTGTTCTGCCTGGAAATGTCTTATTTTTTACACTTTTCCAGTGATACTATGCTGAATTTTCTTCCTCCTTCCTTCCTCCTCTCTTGGTGTCCACCTGCTGTTGCCCAAGCGCAGCAGGATCTGCCAGGCCGGACGAACATCTCGGCACCCACCTCCCCATCGCTGATGCGAGATGCTCTCCACACCAAGATGGAGCAGCTGGAGGAGCAGCTGCTGTCCAAGATCCTGACGCTGCAGAAGGAGCGCCAGGCGGCCAACAGCGACCGCAGCCAGCAGCAGCACGACATCGAGAAGGAGCTGAACTCCCTCCAGAACCGGGTTGCCGAGCTGGAGCATGGTGAGTCCCACGGTTAAGACCCGTTTCCTGGGACCCGTGTGCCCCCCATGCCCTCCCAGGKGCCACACAGGGCTCACTGCGAGCTCTGGGGCCCCTCGTGATGGTGCATGTCTGCAGGACCACCCCCTTTGGCCACCCTGAGCCTGAGCAGCGGGCACTCATTGTCCTTCCTTCTTGGCTCCCAGGGCCACCAGCCTTCAGCCCTCCCGACGCCTTCAAGGTGACCATCCCCGTGCAGAACAACTACATGTATGCCCGCATGAAGAAGACCCTGCCGGAGCTGTACGCCTTCACCATCTGCATGTGGCTGAAGTCCAAGGCCACAGGTGGCCTCGGCACCCCCTTCTCCTACTCCGTCCCAGGGCAGGCCAAYGAGATTGTGCTGCTGGAGTGGGGCACCAACCCCCTGGAGCTGCTCATCAATGACAAGGTCAGCARTGCTGGGGTCCTGCAGGTGAAGGCCAGGGCCTTCATCACAAGCAACCTGGAGGGAAGTGGGTGCTTCTGCGGGGAGCCCCTCTGACCCTGGTGTTTGCATTGCTGTTGTCCCCAGAAGCTGGGAGAGAAGGGGTAGAGGTTTGGAGATGGTCCAGGGTGATGGCAGGAGCTTGAGAGGGAGAAGCAGCACGTGTTGGTGTCACTAGGCTTTGCACGCCTGAKTGCTGTGGCCTGTTCTCTTGCAGGTTGCCCAGCTGCCCCTGAGCCTGAAGGACAAAGCCTGGCACCACATCTGCGTGGCGTGGACCACCCGGGACGGCAAGTGGGCAGCCTACCAGGACGGYGTGCAGCGCGGTGCCAGCGAGAACCTGGCCTCCTGGCACGCCATCAAGCCCCAGGGGGTGATCATCCTCGGCCAGGAGCAGGTAAGTGTCACGCTGGCCCTTCACCGCGGGCTCCAGGGCAGCCCCGGCGCAGGGACAGCAGCCCGGGAGGCTCTGTGGTTGTGAGGCCCAAGCTGGGGAGTGGGGCTGGGGTTTGGGGGCAGGAGCTCCTGGCATGGGGTGCCACAAGCAGCCACCTCCGTGCTCACGTGAGGGGCTCCTGCCCATGCTGCAGAGACGTGCGCTCATCACGCTCCTTCTGCCCCCTCGTCCTCCTCCCTCTGCTCTCCCTGCTTCTTCTGCCCAAATTGCTTCTTTCCCCGTCCCCGCCTCCTCTCTCCTGCTCCGTCCCCTGCGCTGCAGGACACCCTGGGCGGCCGGTTTGACGCCACGCAGGCCTTCGTGGGGGAGATCGCGCACTTTGGCATCTGGGACCACATGCTGGCGCCGGCGGACGTGCAGGCCATGGCCAACTGCACCGTGCGCCTGCAAGGCAACGTGATCCAGTGGGAGGAGCAGGCCGTGGAGGTGTTCGGCGGCGCCGGCAAGGCGAGCTTCACGGCGTGCGAGGAGAGGAGGAAGGCGTGAGCGGCACCCGCCGCGAGCAGCACGGCAGCCGCCCCTGCCCCGTCCGCACCCCCGCCAAGGAAGGGGCGGCTGGAGGCCCCGTCCCCTCCGGTACCCCCAGCTCCGAAGCTGCCGGCCTCCCGGTGGGCGCGGGAGCCCGTCCGGCCTTGGGAGGAGCCAGGCGAGGCCCTCGCGTCCATCCCRGCGGCGGCCGGCCCGGGCGGCAGGCCCCAGGCAGGCCTCCCTCGTGCCCCCGCCTCGCTCCTCGCCCCCGCGCAGGCCGCCCCGGGCACTGGGGTGCCCACGCTGCTCTTGGGGGCACCCCAGTGCCCTCCCTCGCCTTGGGGTATTTGGTGGCAGCGACGCTGCCGCTTCAGTGGCCGGGCTGGCAACGCGGCCCTGCGGGGAGGGCAGCGGCGGCGTTGGCAGCGGGGGCTGGAGCGGGAACAGGGGCGTTTGAGCCCAAGGGGAGGTTTGTTCTGGCAGCGGGGGCGTTTTAAGGGAGAAAACAGCACGTTCTGGTCCGTGAGGAGGAGGCCTTGGCTGGCTGCGGGAGACGGGGAGCGCTTTCCGTCGCAAATCAGGACCGCGGTGTGAAGGAGCAGAAGACCTCGGGAACTGGGCACGTAACTGCTGCTGGGCTGCTAGGGAAACCCCATCTACTTATTTATCTATCTATTTATTTATTTATCTGCCTATTTATTTATTTGCAGTTGTTGGTGTAACTCACTCCCTTTCTCTATTTGACTTCAGCAGGACCCGGAGGCTTTTAAATGCCCCAAGCTCTATTTCTAACTGGGTGCTATCCCTGGGCCCCAGCGTCCCCACAGCTGCCATTTATTTATTTACTTATTTATTTGTAATGATATGAGATAGGTGTTTTTTTCGGCCTGTAACTCAAATAAGCCTAAAGGCATGGCCGCGAGCTGCTCAACAGAAGCCTTCGGCACATTCCCTTCCTTCCCCATCAGCTCTTCTCCTGTTTTTCGAGTGGATATCGCTTCCTTCCCTGGGGAGAGCAGGTGGGGCCGCTCCTGCCGTGGGTGGCAAAGCTGCGGCAATCCCATTAAGGAGCTCTTGTTTGCTGGGGTTGTACCTATCTAATGGAAAGCGTCCGTGGGAAGGCTGCCCGCTCGCCTGASTGTCCTAAGGGCACCTTGAGATCAGGTGATGGTCCCTTTGTCTTGGGGCAGGCTGTTTGTGAGGAAGGACTTACCCTGACTCATCCTGCCTGCTAGAAAGGTGTCACTGAGGTTTTGAGAAAAACATGTTTTGAAAAGAATCCCAGTTGCCTTTCGGGTTAATGCAGAGGGCAAAAGGGAGTCTCTGCCCCCCTGGCTGAGGAGGGATGGGCCCTGGGGCCATGGTGCCCTCCTCCCACCGGGGAGGCCACGGAAGGGAGGCCAAGGGAGGTTTTCAGGAGGGCCGATCCCCTCCCAAATTTATTCCTGTGCCTGCAGAGCCCATAAGTGGCATTTCTGCCCTGAGGGGAGTTGGGCTGTGGAGGCAGAGGGATGCGAGGCTGTGAGAAATAGCTGCTGCTGCCAAGATGCTGCTGTTTCTCACAGCACTTTCTGGTACCCGTGGCCCCTCTTGGCTAAGATCCAGTTTCTCTGCTTGCTCGGAGTTTCCTTTTCTCCCTTCCCGCCCTTGAAGGAGCAAGGGGGCTGCCCATGGCCAGGCACGAGCAGAGCACTGCCCGGAGGGGCAGGACACGGGGCTTCCACCGAGGCACCTGTGGGGTGGCAGGAGACGCTCGGTGCCCACAGGAGACCTTTGGGGAAGGTGTCCAGCTCCAAGGGCAGCACAGCCCCTAACTGAAGTGAAGGCAGGCGAAGAGGGCAAGGAACGTGATCCTGGCCAAAGGAGCCCCACCGGTTCCCATCTTTTGGAGCTTTCCTTGTGCCTCTTCCTTCTGCCCCCCGCTGTGAGCTGCTCCTGGACCCCCTGGACGCAGGGAGGGGACACGGGTGGCTCCGGGCAGCACCGAGCCGGGGTGAAGCGGAGGATCGCAGATAGAGGGACGACGAGGGCAAGCTGAGGCTTCTTCCCCGTGGAGTGCCTGATAACACGATGTTTCCCTGCTGCATGGGCACCGACGTCTACATACGTGTGTGTGTACGTGCGCGTGTGTGTGTGCAGACTAGTGAAGGGCGTGGATTATTTTGGGGCTCTCATGGCTGCTCATGTGGTGTCCAGCTTCCATTGCTCCCCCATCCCAAACACGGTCCCGCTTTGCACTGATGGTGGCTCAAGGTGCTGGCTCGAGGTGACAGCTCGAGGCGCTGGCGCGTCCCACCCGCTCGCGGGGAGGCGAAGCGGGGAGGCGGCCGGAGGGGCCAGACCTGCATTTCTGGCATCGTCCTCCTGGCCTTTCCCTCCTCTCCCCGGCTCCTGGCCACACCGCCCCACACGAGGGCCATGGGGCGGCTCAGCCCGGCCGGGGGGCAGGAGAGAAGCGCAGCCGTCGTGCGAAGCTGGCAGCACCGTGATTTGCGCACCCCGTGACCGAGCCGAACCCGCCCCTGCCCCGCTCCAAACCGCTCGCTCGCTCGCACTGTTTGTGAAACGGGCCCTGCCGCGTGCCTGTGCGTGTGCGTGCCTGTGAACGTGGCGTTCCCGGGACAAGTCCTTTTGTAAAGCTGGTTGTGGACAATAAACATGGCGTTTCTGTTTGAGCCTCCCGCGCAGCGCACGGGCAGCCGGGCGGCCGCGTGCGCCTCTCACTGTCCTGCTGCAGGGCGAGACGGGGGACCCRTGGGATACCCTGGCCACATCCCACACATTTGGGTGGGAAGCCCAAAGGCAGTGCAGGAGCGAGCTTGATGTCCTAGAGAGGGGAGTCGGGAACCACTCTGCAGGACAAGGAAGCCCAACCCCGATGCTGGAGAGCAAAAGTCAGAAGAAGCTCCAGGTCAGGGCAGGATGTCAAGGAGTTCATGTGGGCTACAAATCTCTTTAAGCATTCCTAATGAGCCACTGACCTACCTTCACACAACCTGGTTTGCCCCGGGACGCGGGCTGCAGGTCCCGCTCCTGGAGCCGGCTCCTCCCGAGCGCCCGGCGGCTGGGTCTGCCCAAGGCCCTTTCCCCTCGGCGCTTCTCCCGGCTAAGGCACAATCGCACCGACAGCTGAAAAAGTAGAGCACAAAACTGGAGCGCCGGCTTTTCCCCAGGGCCTTCCCCCTGGCAGGGGTGCTAGCGGCTCTCCTCTCCATGCCGGAACTGTCCCGTGGCTCCCACTGATCATTCAGGGAGGAATTGTAGCCATTAAAATCTGTCACCTTAAGCCCCTCAACGCAGCTCCTTAAAGTTCTCTTTTTTTCTAAAGAGGAGAAGAAAAAAGCAGCTTAAGCGCGCTTAAGCAGAAGCAGATGCTCAAGGACTTTGCTGCAGTCTGACTCCCACGTCGCTGCTGAGAGGAGTGGGTTCAACACRTCCCCTCTGCTCGTGCATTAAGAGGAGTGGGTTCAACAAGCAAACCCTGCTTGAGCACCGGAATAATAACGGAATAATTAAGACATCCACCTCTCTGGAGGAGGAATTGTCTGAAAGTACTGCTGGGATCCTGGATTTAAGTGGAGGTGAAATAAGGGGGCACCAGTTTAAAAGAACTCTCTTATTGAGAGGGAGGAAACTCTCTATGGGGGCTTTAGGGGCTGATGGTCAAGGCAGAAGACGTAGAGGACAAATAGAGGGGGAAGGATGGAAACATCCTGGTCACTTCTGTGGGGTACAGCAGCAGATATGTCTACTCCTGACCCCCGGAATCCAGTCCCTGGTGAAATCTGTACAGAAATACCCTAAAAAAGAAAAGAGATGCTCGGCCCCTTCCCCAGACCAGGCCCCAGGCCATGTGCCTGCCCAGATCCGCCAGTTCTGGGTTGCAGAAAGGAGCGCTGCCGATAGCATCCCTGGAAAACTGCAGCCCCAGCACGGGGCTGGAATAGCAGCTGGAGCTCAAAGGATGCAGGGAGCTATGTGAGGGGTGAAAACGGGAGCCTGGGAGCACAGCTGCTTGCAGGAGGGAGACATCCCCTCTGCCCCAGGGTTTTAAAGGCGGTTCCGCAGAACCGGGGGGGTTAGACAAGGACTGCCCGATATCRTTTATCCAGACATTTTAAAAGCTTACGGCAAACTCCTCCATCTAAGGCTCTTAAGGAAACTAAGTCATTACGTGGAGATTAGAAATTGGTCAGGACAGAAAATCAAGAGCAGGCATCAATATTTCATTTCCAACCTGGAACAGGTTGGCTCTGATGCTCGGAGGGCAGCAGTGGTGCCTGTTACTGGAGCGCAGCAGCAGAGTGAGGAGGTTCCCTTTCTGGGTTACCCAACAAACTTCCACTGAGAACGTCTTGACACGGTGCTGTGCGCGCTCCCCTTGCATGCYGTGTCCTGCAGATCCCTCCTGAAAACAAAAACAGGGGTAAGGAAGGACTCCTTGGACCCGCGAGGAGGTGCATGGAGGGTGCTGCCGGGAGAGGCGACGGCAGAGGAACAGGAGCGCAGCGCGAGCGCTGCCTGCGCACGCTCCTGCCTGCCCCCATTGAGAGGATGCTCAAAGGCAACGCGTTTCGATGGGGTAAGAGGGACGGCTTTTTGCTCCCGGTGCTTTGCTAGCCTGCGAAACGCACGGCTGCAGGGCTTGCTGCAAAATAAATAAATAAATAAATAAATAAATAAATAAATACAGACCTCCAAGAAAGGGATGTAGCACACACAGAACACACTGGTTCAGACACCACAACTGAGAACATTCAAGCCCGAGGGCTTAAACTCTTAATCAGCAGGTTGAGAGGAAGCTGCTGCAGTTTCCAAGGCCCTCCAGGCCAGCCAGGCTTTCCGGAGAGCGTGGCTCCTCTTGCAGGTCCTGCCTTCCCCGGGAACACCAGCTTGCTGGGGGGCAGCTCCGGGATCTCCCCTCAGGGGCAGCTCTGGCAGCTCCGGGTCCCGGCTGTCCCCGCACTCCAGGCTGGGCAGCGCCAGCTCTCCGGGCTGCATCCCGGCGGCAGCCCCTCGAACCAGGTCGGAGCAGCTGGCGCTTCCCGCTCAGGAGGAGGCCGCCCCAAGGCCCTGCCCTAGCAATGGGGGGCTGCCTTAGCGGCCTCCTCCTGCTTCCCCATCCTGCCGGGAGCCTCCCCCGCTTGCTCCCAGAGCTGGGCAGGCTCCTTAAGGCCTGGGCGCCATGTGGACAGGGAACACACGGTGCTTCCAGAGCATCTGCCGGCACAAAGAGCTGCCCCTACCTGCTGATGCACCAGCGTGGCACCGGCGGCAGCCGCGGTCACCGGCATCTCAYGGGTACCTGCTCCCCGCAGCGCCTGGCCCATCCCAGCATGATCCCTCCCCAGCAGGACGCGGGATCCGACCRTCCCAGCAGGATGAAGAACACGGGATCCCTCCAGTGCAGCTGAGCATCAAGGGCCGCCGTGCTGCTCTCCATCCATTCCCACGCATCCAAGTGCCACCTGCCTTCCCAGAGCTGGAAGCGGCGTGGCTGGACGCTGGGAAACGCGGCTCCAACATCCCTGCGGAGCCCAGGGAGGGTGCCGGGAGCCCCACATCCGCGCAGGAAGCCGGGCAGGCCGAGCTCAGGAGCAGCAGGAGAGGCTGCGTTCAGGCAAAGGCTTGGCGAGGAGGCGCCAAGCGGTGTGTGCGCGGGTGAAATCTCACAGCGAGCCGCCACGCTGCCGCTCCTCGGCTRCGGGCGCGATCCAAGAGTGGTGCCTGGTGGGCAGTGACTATTTAATGCATTTCACTGCAACTGCCAAAGGCAAAGGGCCAAGAGAGTTCAGATCTGTCACGAGCGGCAAACAAGAAAGTCGGAGCCAAGCAACCCATGGGTGCTGCGGACCCGGTGCAAACTCAAACCTCGCTGGCGCTGAAGCCTCACCTTTATTAGAGGTGTCTGCCCTTTCAGCAGGGAAATAAAGAACRGCCTACTTGAGGCCATGCATGTATCCCCCTCCCACACCGGCAGCTGGAGAACTGGTACGAGTTGGATGTGTTGGCCTAAAAAAGCATGGATTCGCCTCTGGTTTGGGGAAGAGGCAGCCAGCAGAAGCCCTTCATTCACGCACTGGATGAGAAATGAGGCTTCCCGCATTCTGCCACAGCGCAGCAGGTGAAAACAAGCTCTTCTTCCTCAGGGGACACTGCTCTTTGCAGTCCCGTCTGCAAATCACAAACACCAAAAATACAGATATCCTAACTTTGGACCCGCCGATATCCCAGTTCAGCTACATTTTTTACCTTTAACCAAGAAGCGGCCGATGAGCAATTCCTACAAAGAGCCTCAACGTATCCCTAGGGATACGCACCCCGTGGCCACACTGATCAAAACCAAACCATATTTAACTGAGCTCCAAACGGGCCGCGCACGCGCGCTCACCCGCACGCAAGCCAGCCCATTAAGCACCAGCTCTCTCCGACTCGCTGCTTGGGAGCAAAAGTGGGTGAACTACATAGAGATTAAAGCATTAAAAAGAAACGGAGAGAATATGATGCTTGAAAGCACTGTATCCCCGGAGAGATTAGAGCAGCTGCCTAGAGATAAAGTAATGATGGAAAGCGCTTCTTCCTCCCAGAGATCCTTTTCCTAATTAACTCCTCTGGTGAGGGGAAAAAAAATCACCTCCAGCCTTCATCCGTATCCTGGCAATTTTAGTGYTGCACCCGCCTCATTCCAACAGGCCAAGGGCTGTACAAAAGGAGAGGGAATCGGCTCAGACAACACAAGGCAACACAAGTGTTGAAGAGGGACAGGAGGCGGCGTTGGATTCGTGGCACCGGCAGCTGAAAAGGCAAATGGAGAGGAAAATGTCAGGCAGCGGCAGGGCTTCCAGCGCTGCCGCGTCGGGAAACGACCTCCACGGGCTCCAGTGGGATTCACCGTCACCTCCTGCCACGGAGGAAACGATCCGTCCTCCCCGCAGCGCCGAGCTCGGGTGTCACGGCGAGGAAACGCTCCCATCCCCGCAGGAATACAGCTCTGTCCAGCTCCTTCATCCCCCACTGTATTTATTTATTAATGTGTTTATTTATTTATTCTTCCCAAAGAAGCTGCTTCTACTGCACACTTCAAATACACGCGAACCAGAGGGCCACGCAAGAGACAGGCCCACGAGCCATCCCACAGCACGCGGAGCCCCGCTGGAAAGCCATCGCGCCCACTATTTGGAGCTCTGTATAAGCAAAGATCTCCCCCTTGGGAATAGCTTAGGCTCAGCTTTAGAAGCGTCCAGTGTTTGGCTAGCAGGACGCCAAGATGCCCTGTTTTAGAGGCAACGAGACCTGCCAGGGAGCTGCCAGTCACGGGGAGCCTTTAAGGCAGCCGATGGCACAAACGTAGAGATGGGATGGAATGGGATGGGACGGGAGCGGAGCTCCCAGTGCCTCAGATACCAGTGAAGCTCTGTGCTCGTCCCATGTAGCTGCGTAGCCAGACAGCTCATCTGAACTCTTCAGATTCCAGTCGCTGGCCATGAGTCTCCCTGAAAGCCCTTTTTCAGTGGAGCAGCTCCCGACGCTGCTCAGGTAGCGCCGCACAGCAAGGGATTCGTCTACCCGGGGAATTTAGGAATGAGCCRAGGTGGGGAAGCAAAGCGCCAGGCCACATCTCTGGGCAGCCCCATCAATAACAGTCAACATCAATGACCCAACCCTGCCAATAACTCACACTGCAGCCCCTCTCCTGGCTCGTTTCCTCATACWGACAAGCCCGGGGCACGTAGATGGACTTAAACAGGAACAAGGTTCTCAATTTGGGATAAGAACGTTTCACGTGAGCAGTTTAGGTGCAGGCCCTGCCCTTGGGGATTCCCTGCGCCTCGGGAATGCCCGTGGAAGCTCGGGAAGGCCTCGGGAATGCCCATGGAACGTCCGAACACTCGTGGAAACCCGGGAACAGCCGTGGAAGCTCGGGAAGGCCTCAGGAATGCCCGTGGAACGTCAGAACACTTGTGCAAACCCGGGAATGCCCGYGGAAGCTCGGGAAGGCCTCGGGAAGGCCCGCGGAAGCTCGGGAAGGCCTCGGGAAGGCCGCGCTCGCCCAGGGCCGGCGCTGGGGCCGCGCTCGGGTGCTGCTGCTCCGGGCACCACAACGCGGGGGACACGGAGGCCGCGACCAGCCCTCCGTGCAGAGCCGCGGCGGGTCCCTCCCCGCGGGGGCTGCGGGCTCTGCCCCGCGCGCCCCCGCTCCGCCGCCGAGGCCGTTCCCCGCCGCGGGGGGTCGCGAGCAGCGCCCCACACGGCGCCAGCACCGAGGCGGGCCGCGCCACAAAATGGCGGCGGCGCGCCCCACCCGCGCCCCCGCCGCGGCTCCCGGGGGCGGCACGGAGCGGCTCCCGTCCCGCACCGAGCCCGGCGGGACCCCCGCCACACCCGCCCCGCAAACAGGCGCGCCGCGGACACCCCCGCCGCCCTCCCTGAAGACCCCTGCCCTCCTCGCGTCACCCGGCAACGCGCGCGGCCAATAGCGCGCGCCGGGCGCCTCGCCCTCAGCCAATGGGAGGCGCGGCGGCGGGACTTCCGACGCCGGTTGCTAGGACAACGGCGCCTCTTTCCTTAGCAACCGGGGCCGAGGCGGCGGCGCAGGTGAGGCCGGTTCCGTCCCCGCGGCCGCGC